TACACACTCAGGGTGATACCTTCCATCTTTTTTGTCAATGTATGTAAGTAATGTAAAATATACTGTCTGTTAGAATTCTGACAGGAAGAGTATTTTCTATTAAGTCTGATCAGAACTCCCATGCAGTCACCAACTGCCTCTTCCTGATACTTCACTGTCAACTTTCTAAATCTCAAATGTCATAGAGATTTACCACATTCCCTCTTGGATCCCCATCCAGATTTTCAGGAACCATTCCCTCTTACAATCAGAAACTAGCAGCCTGTAAATAAACATAATGGTGGAATTGCTAATAAGCTCTATTTCCACCAGAAGTAATTTTTTTTGCTAGATATGAGGCTGACAAGATGAATTCCGTGTGGCTGAACATTTCCTACTACTTACCTCTACAGCTAAAAATATCATTTTAGGGTAACCTTATATCACATTAAAAAAGTTGTTCTTTGTACCGTACAGACCCAAGTTAAGATTTCCACCTGATTACTGAAGCAATCTTACTATTAAATTGGGTTGCAATAAACAAACTGTTTATATAAGTGTCCCAAAATTCTGGTGTGACAACTACTACACCTTACAAAGATACTTTGCATTGCTACTTACTCAAGGAATCAAGCAACTGCCCTGCCATCACAACTCTCTAATATTTTGGACAGTTTGGGCAATAGTAATTCTAACTTTTGGACATTCTATAGTGTCAATTTCTGCAAATGTTTAAATGACAAATTTTTATGAGTTAATTTGTCATAAGATATATACACACATACACAAAGCTAATTAATACTATTTGAAAAAATATTAAGAATTGTATACATACACATAAAACAACTAAGTTTCATGTGATCTCAGTAACTTGCTCCCTTAATTGGAAAACAAGCAACTGTATTAATTCCAGTCACAGAATCCTCAGGAAAAATTTAAAAAGGGCATTATTATTAATTGTTATAATATCTAATAGAGTCAATTATTGACTATTAATAATAATTAATTAATTAAAGGTAATTAATTAATGGGTAAAGAGAACACTCATGTCAGAAAAGCTGGGATAGGTCTCTGGAGCAGTTTTGGGTAGTTCTGACACCAGAATTTTTAAGGAGATGAATTGGTACTGATACAGGATTGTCAGATAAGTAGAAACCAAAAATGGACTGCAGAGGATTGTACAAGAGATCTACATCAGTAAATGACTGAGCAAGAAAACAGACACTAAAGAATGGATAAGCACACCCATAGCTAAACAAAAAAGTCCTCAGCCCGTGTGCTGGGTATTATTCCATTTGTTAATCTATTCTTGGTTAGTCGTTGTTACCTCATTCCAAAAAGCACATACATATTTTTTTCCCAGAGAAATAAGAAGCAAAAAAGGGAGAAAAAGGGAGAAATAAAAGTGCCAGACTCAGCTGGTCTTGGAGCAGGAAGGTCATGACAAACAGCCCCCATTTCATCCCCCCCCTCCCACTACAGCAATTCTTCCCTAGCCTTGTTTGTCTGTCTCTCCTTTCTTCTTTCCACCAGCCAAGGGACATGGGTACTTCACATGTTTTCCTGCTCTCAGCCTGGAAAAGTGTTGAGGAAATAAATTTTGTTTTTTCACAGATGAGATAATGGATTGGAAGTGACCTAGTCTCTTAGGTGTGAGAACAGTATTTTCATACTTCTGACTTGCCACTAATCAATACATCACTAGCAAATTGTTCTTGAAATTAAGCTGTTGCAACTCACGTTGCTGATATAACAATGATTTGGAGGGGAGAGAGAAGGGCCTAAAATGCAATGAGATGTCAAGCAAAAAGAGCCATGCAACGAGGGCAGCAAGTGAAACTGATACTAGCTACATAGAGAGAATTGTTAGAGGATCTCTGACAAGATATAGAAGTGTATGGAAAATATAAAATACAACATAAAAGATAAAACCCCTGAAAATGCCCCACATGCTCTTTGGAGCATTTCAGTGAAACAGCACAAAGCTGCACTCCATCACATTTCCATGCAGCAGCAGACAGTGCCTGGACATTTCTGAATCAGCAACTCTGACATGAAGGTATTTTTTTTAGGGGTCAATTTTCCCATTGGTGCAAGGAGGATTTACACATGCAAGTCCCATTAACATTAATAGGAGTTACCTACATAAATCCCCCTGCAATGATAGGAGAAAAGACCCCATAGTCTGCAAGGATCCAAGTTCTAATGATTACCTGTCAAATGGCCCTAAGCATCATCATCACCAGAAAAAGCAGACGTAGCAGCTTCATGGCTGAAAATACTTCCAAAGGAACAGTAACTAATTGCAGTCATACTGATAAGGCAATGCAACAGCAGAGGGAAAATGGCATAAATTGACTGTTTGAATATTAAGGGTTAATCCAATTAACCAACTTAAAAAGAAAGTGCTCATTAAAAAAGGAATTCAAACATATCAAAGCAGTCCTTAGGAAAAAAAAAAAAAGGTGTGAATATTGTATGAGCTCCAAGGTGCTTGAAGGATAATACAGCTACTTGTTTAAAAATTCAATTAACCTTATCTTTCTTTAACTTGATTTATTAATAATCCCACAGATAAATTGCCAGTTTTTAAAAAGTCATGTTATCTTTTGAATACATCCTGTATGACAAGCCTTAAAAACTACTTCAAATAAGCCTAACCCTCACTTTGTATGCTTCAATCATTTAAAGCAAGAACAAAATGCAGTTCAGTGCATGATTTCTGTAAAACACAAAGATCAACGGTCTTATCTACTGCTATCACAAGTGAGCTATTGGGTACTCAAGTACCACAGGAAAAACATTTTATGTTTCCATTCACCATACCAACCAGACATGAGAACAGTTTTTAAGCAATCAATGTAGTGTCAAGTCGTTGTCCACAACTTGTAGATTATCCTGTGTTATCTGAAATCAAACTTGCAATGTTTCCAAATTTTGCTCCCCTTGGACACAAAGCATGGAGACACTATTACCTATAGATTTGCTAACTCATATACACATACTATCCCACATGTAAACTTCTATCTCGTTACAGCTGTCAACATGATGAGAGCAAATGACAGGATTACCAGGAAATGTCAGTTAACAAAGTAACTGAAAGAAAACACAGAAAAATACACTTGCAAGCAAACCTTTAATTTTCATCAAACTATTTCCTTGTAAACATAGAAGATGACAAATTCAACTATGATCCCTGTTACTGAAAGACAACCAGGCACTAGGTCCCCCACTTAATTCTTTTACAGATCTGGAGATGTTACAGACAATTACCATATACTCATGCTTTCCAGTACACAGAAAAATCAGAGCTAGATGCAGAGGCAGTCTGCTTATTACTATATATAAATAACTGCTCAATCACAAGCATCCAAAGATAACTGTTGTTTAACATTGGAAACATTTCAACCACGTGTTTTCTGAGGACTTGGGGATTACACACACAACGGTACCTAGCCAATAAACAAGGGCTGTAAACACAAACAAACTGATTTTTGAAATGCAAACTGGACAAGGTACTGCAATGCAAGACAAAGTGAAGTTAACAGTATCAGTTATGCTGTAAAAAAATAAATAAATTAACCTTTATGGCATGGAGCCATTCTCAAGGCAGGCACGTGCACCCGAAACTGTACAAAAGCCTGGATGTGTCAACTTCAGGCAGTGCTGAATATTCATTATTCAATGGCAATTTTTATTTATGTACAGTATTTAAGCATTGCTAGAACTGTATTTAATTTAATGAAGAAATTTAAACCCCAAAGCATCAAAATTCACTGATCTCTACTACTGACCTACCGGGCGTACACTTTAAGGTAAATAAGTAAATCTTAAATATTTTTCATCATCTGAATGTCTAATTTCAAGCATTGTTCAGAAGAAGTGCAAGTTTATCATGGTCATTTACAACAGATTTCTCATTCTGTAATTTTTCATACAAACTAGCCTTATAAATACTTCAATAAATTTTACTGTATAAATGCTTTATGATTACAAAATGTATAATTTACAGCTATCACACTAATTTTCATCTTATTAGCTGGGATCTATATAAACCTTTGGAAGTATCAGTTGAACCTTCCCCCCATCACAAAAAAAAAACAATTAATGATTATCTAAACTTCTCAGACATCATACATCAAAAAATTTATGACTGGCTTATTAAAGGCCTGAACATGGCAACAAATCCAGAGACTAACAACAGGTAAGCTCCATCTATGATTTTCAATTGTTAGGAAATCTAGCATTAAGTTTAAATTGTGCTATTTTCCTGACTACAGTAAATTAAGTCACTAGTGAAAACACATGATCTGTTATTTCTTGTCCAAAAAAAATTGAATGTAAAATAGTTTCATATGAGGAACACCTATTAGATTATATTTGTCTCTGAATTATGGCATCAGTTTCAAAACCATACAAGAAATTTTTCATTATACAAGTTAAACATGACATCTACCATGTATTCTACAGCCACTCCAGAACTGTCATTATCATTGCCTTTAAGTTCCACTGAAAGAACCACTCTGAAGGACAGATTGTGAGGCTCACCTTCAACTGTTTAATTAGCACAGATCCAATGAGTTCTAGCAGAACTTTGGTACGTTGTATCAGAAGATCATCTCCTCACTGCTAAGCAGACTTGCACATTTTTTCTTCTAATTAGTTTCAACTTGTTGCCTGTTTAAAAGATGGAGGATTCCTTCCAAGGGAAGGAATGTAAAACAAAACCAAATTCTCGCAACAAATTGTGAAACCTATTTCAGTATTTGAAATTCAAATGCTTTGTTCTAGGGTTTTTTGTTTAGCTATGAACATTCCTGGATCTAGTGGACCTATGACTACTCAGAAAGGTCTCGGCTATCAATGAAACCATCTGGCAAAGAAAGATCATTCAAGCTAAGGAAAGTAAGGCAATTGCAAATAAGATAGGTATGGGGGTTTTAAACCTCTTTTTCTTACCCTTCCTCCCTTACATTTTAGCTTGGGTCAACCTCCTCTTCTCCTAAGGGAACAATGCTAATTCACTCCTCATTATCTCCCTTCTCAACAGCAGTGCTCCCTTCGCTACAGTTTTCCTCAGCTGAGGATTCAGGTTTTGACTCTGATGAATTATTGAATTCAGACTCTTCTGGAGCAATCTCATCTTCATCATAAATAATATCTTCTGGATTTGGTGCTGCTGGGCAGAAATCCTCTTCAGGAAACATTTCTCGGAAAATAGTCTCAGCCTATTCAGAAAAAAAAAGCATGAAGTAAACTTTACCTTGAAATGTAATAACTTGCATCAGTATTTCACAGATATTTGAGATTAACCTCTGTTCTTTCAAATCAATAGTGATTTAATATTTAGCCATTATTGTAAACACATGGGAAATCTATTCCTTCTTCAGTCCTCAAAAAAGAAAAACCCATCTATCTTTTTACCTTGCTCTTCTTGGAAAGTCACAGCAAAGGGCTTTTTTAAAAATAGTGGTCAACCTACATTCTGTTGAGAACAATGAAGATAATTTTTTTGCAAGGAAAATTATCTTTTCTGCTATAATAATATCCCTATCTGCAGTCAAATGCAAAGCATGGAAAGACCTTGCCTCTTTCCAGAAAGAAGAATCCATTTCACACAACAAGGAATCCCAGGAGACTGTATGTACAGTCTACATCATATCTATACTGGTTTCCTTCTTAGATTTAAAAATTACAAAAAAAAAAAAATCTACCTCTGTTTTTCTGAACATCTCATGCATAACTCACTTGATAAGAGTTCTCATACAGTGGAATATTAGCATTGAAAATATGGATGTATTTTTATAAATTTATAATTTATTTGAGAATTATGTCTATCATTTCAGTGTATTATGTGCATACACCTATGTGCACAAACTGCCTTTCTGAAAAGAACTGTATAAGTAACTGCCAAGGGTTAGGGCTGGGCTGGTCACTGGATGAATGGAGAGACTGAACTAAAAAGTAAAATCATTGAACAGAATTAGCTCTGTTCTAGCTCAAACCAAGACAGCAACTTCTATTTAGCTTAAACAATGGCTACTTTTAAGATACAGCTCAAGGATTTAATTTGCAATGCCACTTCATCTTCATGCCATCAAGGTTTAGAAATCAAATACACACAAAAAGTCAAGTTTTTTCATGACTGCAAGAAAAGATTCTTGATAATGTCAGGATAGTTCTTCTGTTATTACAACATAGAGAATACAACTACAAAATCTAGCGGAAAAAGAAACAAAAAATAATACAGAATCACAGAACTGTGATCTTGGAATTCTTGAGAACTAGATGGTTCATAAAAAAAAGGAGGCAAAAAATCCTGTCAAAACCACAAGAATGCAAGGAGCTTTCTTAATTAGTGTTAAATAGCTTTACATGTTCTTGTGCAAATAACCTCTCTTAAAAAAAAAAAAGCTAGAGACACTTGGGAAGTTATTTAGTGAGCCAACAAGTAAACAAGTTTTTCCTTTCCAAGTCCTTAAGCTTCTAAGGCAAATGGAGACAACTGATGCAGCTCACTGTTATGCTCTGGGTTCCTAAGAAGGCAAAGGAATATTGCCTCTCACTTTTGTCTCTCCTGTAAGCTATACCCTACGGATGACCTGTGACGAGAGCTCCCACACAGGCAGGCATGCATTTAATCTTCATATCCACACTGCTCCAGACACTGCAGTGGAGAAGCTGACAGCAGGGTCAGTTAATGCCAACTGCAAAGGCTGATTACATGATGTGGATTCCTGGAGAAGAGGGAATTGTTTTCAGATTAATACATCATCGAGCATGCACCAAACAGCTTTCTGTGACAAACTTCCCTGCCTGCCAGCAGTGGATTTGTATCACCAGCATCTGGATGCAGGGCTCCCTTATGAACTGCTTGAACGACCCTGTCTGCTCTCAGTTCTATTTAATTTTTCATTCTGAATCCTAAATTTCACTCTTGTGTACCTATTTTAAACAGTTTACAATTATTTATGTATTAAAAAATACACAAAAAAATTCTACTCTCTACTTTAAAAACAAAAGTTTGTAATTTGCAAACCTTGCCTACAGAGTCTAGTAGGCAAGGGGGTACAAACATCCTACAAAAAGTTTACAAAACTAACTTGTTGTAGGTAAGAGAAAGGCTTTTTACTTCAAGCCTGCACTTGTCCTTCACACTCCAAAAATACACTTAATTATTACATTTAAGTATTGAAGAAAGATCATATTTTGCACTTGATATATAACAAACTAGACCAGAAAAACGTTGAATGATTGTTGAGAACTGCATAGAAAGTCTCCAATTAGTCAGTGAATATCCACTCCAAAAACAGTCATGTAACTGAAGTTGAACCTGGAAAGAAATCCTCAGTGTGCCTTGTAGGACATCATGCCACTGATGACAACTGAACAATTTAATGGTACAGAGAGCTGTCAAGTCTACCAGTTTGTAAAACTAATCTTAGCCAGCTGATTTCATGCAGAATAACCAATAATAATGTAACAGCTCCTTCATTATAACACTTTGATACTCACTGTAACTAATCAGGTTAGTAAATAGTTCCTTCAATATTTAGTAGTTAATTGTACTAGCTTTTGAATTAAGCAATGGCATAGGTGTGTAAAGCACTTGCACAGATACTCTCAGTTAGTAACTGTTTGAAGTTGAATACAACTTACATTACTTTTATTTTTTTTTTTTCTTTTATTTTACTGTATCCCAGCTACAGACCTTGATGGCACGAGGACAAGCTGTGTGACAGCAACTTGTACAGAGAACACTACCAAACTGACAGTTGTTTGAAAAAGAACACACTTGAATAAATCTGAAATCCTTCCAGATACAGAAAAAAAAGTGCAAATGGGTTAAAGGACAAATATTGGCATCAAAATTTTAGTGCTTCCTCTTATGAACAGGAATAGGTCTCAGAAATCTGAAATACTTAAGGGAACATGCTACTTTAGGCTAGAATAATTCATATCAGGTTGTAACAGTGAAAAAATAGAAAACTGGAAGCCAGATGCTTTCCTTGATCCATACATACAGAATTAAAAGGACTCATAAACAGCACTTTACATTTAATTTAGCCTGTCCTCAGGGCAAGAAAATGCAGACACCAAAATTAATTCAGTACTATACTAGGAATTTAACACTGAATTAAAAATAAACCAGAAATGAAGTCATTTGTATATTGAGCTGTAGATGGATAATCAGCTGTAAAAGTTGTGGTGTCTTGCCTTCTAAATAATGTATCATCAATACAATCAAACAGAATGACAGAGAGAAGTTAGGAATACCAACGGTAATGAAAACATAAATCATGGGAAGTATCACTACAACAGTAAACACAGGATTAGAGAAATTAGATTTAATTTTCCAAGCTATCTCCAAGACTAATAGACACAGCATTTTTTTGGTTTGTTTTTTTAAAGTGTTCTGATCCATGAGTTCATCAGTATTTCATGTTTGGGAATTTCCATCCCATTGCTAGGCAGATGAAAGTGGACTGGGGGTAGGAAGCACAGCAATTTACCTGTGTTGCCCTCTTGTCTAGGAGGTACCTGCATGTGAGATGGGAAGGGTCTATCCTAACTGCAAGTTCTGCTTTATCTTCAGCCTGCTCTTCACTTAGTTCTCACATATGCTCCTCATGTTTATCTGTCCTTATGACTTCCCATTCTAAACATGTTTATGTTGAAATACTTTTCACTCTAAAGCAGTGACCATCTGTTTCAAATTTTAAAACAGGTTAAAAAAAAAAAGGAGCTTCTTATCTACTCTTTGTAAAGGACAGTGTTTCAGGCTCTTGATTTTCTCCTCCAAGATCTGGTTGTTTAACATCTATCTCACTGATGGTCAACAGCTCTAGGACAAAGGCTCCCTACAGCACCTAGAATATTTAAGCACAGCTTGATCTATAATACTCTTACCCCAAGACAAAGCTGAAAGCTAGAAAAGGTGGCTATCAGAACTAGGAACAGGCTGCCTTTTAAGTCTGTTTATCTAGCTTTTAACCTGCATTGTTTTAAACAGTTAAAAAAAAATTTCTCATTTAGAAAACGAATTTACAATTTAAAGCTGCTACAGTAGTAATTGTCTTGCATTACTTTTTGTTTTTACAGTTCTTTACCCTCTTGAAAGGTAAATTACTGCCTTGTAAAACAAACCTAAGGGTACCATTAGCCCTTAATTATACTTTTCTGACCCTACACTTCAGGCTATGTCACCCTTTCTACTTCAAAATCTTATTTTTAAGAGGTTTATGAGTTAGTCACAAAAAAAATCCTCCAACTAGTCAGAAGATGGCATGCACATTCTTTACCATTAAAAAAGCAGCTTTTAAAATGTCTAGTGCCAGTTAATTCTACAAAGGTGTAAAAGTGTCCTCAGGTGAGCTCCAAGCACACCCAGACACCACGGTGACTGCTGTGGTAGATTTGTCTGGGAATTTTATACCTCCCTTATCAAGGTGGGTCTCTGAATGGAAGAGCAAAGCAGAAGCATTCCTGTAGTGGTCTGTTGTTGAACAAGTCCTAATCTACATATTTGTGTGATCTTGTTGTCTTCTGCTCAACAGTAGTGGGGAAGGCACAATGAGAGGCATGACAAGAAATTCCTTCCCAAGTTCTACACACCCACCGTTGAAGATCTGGTGCTCCTGCAAGTTCTGCCTATTGCCAACACAGAAGGTGGCTCTTTCATGATCTCTCCATCTACCTAGTTTTGTTTAGGGAGTTTTCACTCTTCACCTCCAATTGCAAAGCACTAGTAATCTGTTTTAAACTGAGTACTGCCATGGTATGACTACTACTAGGCAAGTTACAAGGGGTTGCCTGTTCAGGATTCTCACTCACAGTCACTAGATATGTCAACACCCAACTACTGAGAACTACAGATCAGAACTGAGTGTGACTGGTCCCAAATACTGCCTTAGGGCCACTAATAGAATCCTTTCAGAGGCACAATTACACCACAAGTTTTTTAATACAGTGATACTAAGGCAAAGAGTAGGTATATAGACAACTCAGTGTAGTGGTTGTGCTGGGGTTTTTCCCAATAGATTTCAGGTTTGTGGCTATGTCCAGCAGGTATTAAACCACTCTGATGATCCTTCTAACATGAACTGTAGACAGACTTTCCTCACCTTGGGTTGGTACTGCTTCTCTGCTACTGCACCACCTCTTTAACCTTACAGGTGAAAGCTGACATACTTGGGGAGTTATCCTCTACACCTCTGAATTATCTGACAGTTTTTCCTTTCCACAGTATCAGAGGAAGCAACCATTCTACCAAGACTAGCATCTTCAGGTACTGGTGCCTTCTAAGTTCCCTTTACCTGTTCAGATAAACTATCTGCTACTCCTCATGTTGCTGTATCCACTGACCTTTTCTCAAGTTTCCCTCAGTCTCAGTTCCACCAACACTCACTTTGCTCATTAAGTAAGAATTTTTGTATGTCTAGGTGTGAAGTTTTATATCTGTTTTAGTACTAATTAGCATAAAGCACAACAACACAGAACAAAAGTAGATCACATTGTACTTCCTTAGGTCTTTAAAATTAAAGTTTTGCAACCAAAAACACCTGATCTGCCCAACCTGTTTGACAGCACAGTCATTTCCTAAAGCAGAGTCTGGTCCAGAGCAGACATAAACATTGGAGGGTAAGCCATCGTAGGAATTCTTCTCAACTCCTGAAGAATCTCTCATGTTGAAGTAGGCTGCCCAGAGGACTCTAGGTTTTTCTGGTTCTTCATTTTCAGTCTCTGAAAAGAAAAAAGTGTTCCCAGTAATCAATGTTCATGTGTAATAAAGGGATATATGTAATCTAGCATACTGAAAGTCAATTTATTAGCAGGGAGTTACTGTAATAAAGTGCTATTTTTTTTTCTTTAAAAAGCCAATTAATTTCAGTTTCCACTCTTTTCTGAGGTACTTTTTCATCACACTTTTCCCTTACAGCCATAGGTATCTAAACTGTACTTGTTCTGTACTCACTATGCCACGTAAGAACCAATTATCACCTAAAAGCACACGAACACAAAGCGTGGTCTAACCTCAACACCTTTGCACCTCAGGTTAAATGGTTTACTCTGGATAAACTCCAGGAGCATCTGATGCTCTGAACAAGTCCTCCATGGGCTGTGCCAACCTGAAGCCACTGGATTCTATATGCAAAGATAGTTCTGATGTTTATTTTTTCCTCTTCCTTTAATAGTTTATCTTTGTATGGGAACTATTCTCATAAGAGACCTTTGTGTGCTTTAAGACTGAGTGTCTTCACCTAAGGAGTGAAAACACTAATCATGTTTTTATTGTTTTAATCATGCTCATGGTTTAAAGAAAAGAAACTTGAAAGAAAAATCCACAAAGAATGATCCCCCCAAAATTAACTGCAGATAAAGATTTACCAAACCCCAGAAGTACTCCTTTCTGATGTGTGTGATACGCGATATGTAGAACCTCTAAAATTTGGGAATACCTCTAAATGAAAAAAAATTATTAATTTACATTTATCTATGCTTACTGAGGACTCGTACTGTGCTACAATACTCATTATGAACACAAAGTGACCATAAACTACACCTTGCCCATCACCTGTACCTTCCTGCAGTTACTCTGCACATTCATACAACCCCCCTGCACAGGCAGAAAAACCTCTGCGAAGATGAAGGTCACTTTTTAACAGTGCAGAATGCAAGGGAGGAATACACAACACAGATTCTTAGCTTAATAGATACTATTTGTTTGGCATATTTGCTGTCCCCTTTTGGTATTTCACCTTCTCTAAAATAAATGAAGCTTGTAAAAGACCTTGTGAGATTTACCTCTTCCCAAGGAAGAAACTTCTAGATAACAACAGCATTCAAAACAGTATTTTAAAGCAGTTGAATTAGAAAAAAAGAGATAAATCTGTGCTATTCCTTCAGTATCTTTTTATAACTGTCAAATATTTTTTAAAAAATAGGTGCTAACCATACCGAACTGTTTGAAATATAAATTAAATTCATCAGCCTGTGAAAGTCTGAGCCTTAATACAGGGCAAGATGCTCTTTAATATATTTAAAAGTTCACATTGCTCATAAAAGTTACTTCTTCCTCATTTAGGCAGGAAAATGAATGGAGTCCTCTTCTCCAGGTGACTTTGCCTCTTTGACCTGCCATGGCCCAGTGCTCACTTTATCTGGTGATTCATTTTCAATAACTCCAACAGTATTTGTTCTGACATTTTAATTAAAATACGACCACTACCTCATCCTGATGATAAAAAGGCCTATGTGTCAGTGAAAACTAGCTTTTCAGTGCCTCGGTGCACCTGAGGACCCCTATGATCACAGAGTTTCTACAAAAGAATTTCAGTCAGGTTCTAAACAATATATCATTTCAAAATTGGATCACTTTAAACATTAAGATTAATGCTAAGCCCCCCAAATGATTAGAAGACACCAAACTGCAAGCTAATCTCTTCTTCACTGAGTCTTTGAAACACATGGCACTGTCTTGAAAATTTATGATATATGTTAAATATTAAAAGTTGCATATTAGTGGGCTTCAAGTTAACAAATATCAACATGAAAAGTGTTTGCAGCTCTCCAACCTCATACAGCTTCATATTTACAAACCCTAGCTGTAGTTCACATATTTGTTTTGTAAATGCTCTTGTACTACAAACATAGTAAAATATTTACATCTTTGTGATATCAAAGATGCCTATCCTGTAAGCAAAAAGGAAAAGAATGTATATTATTTAATACTTTACTACCTATTGAAAGCACTTGGTTATCTAACAAAACCAATAAGGTATTAATCTTTTCATTAAAAAGTAGAGGAAAAAAGATGTAAAAACGGAAAAGAACACAGAAAAAGAAGCTGGTGAAAAGCTCAACTCACCCCTTCAAGAAACACTTTTGATTACAGAGCTCTGAGAGCAAAGACTGGCCACATAAAAGACTATATTTATATTTTTTTATCAGGAGAAAATTTTACCCAAATTCACGTTATGCCTCAAGATTGAAGCGTAACAGCAAATATTATAAGCAAACCAATTATAAATACTATAAAATACTTCCACATCTTACTCACTTGTGTATATAGAAACACAAACACTTCCACTGACAGCTGAGTATTGTTTCTTTATAGAGGAACTATGATTTACTCTATTTGAGTATGAGCACACTATGTTTAAAAATGCTTTGCCAGGGTTAGAACAGAGCAACCTCTTCTATGGGCACACCACCTATCCTATAAGCACCTACCAAAAATATGACTAGATTCAAGATCTTGGGATTAAATTTCAAAGACTTCTGTGGAACTAGTTTAAAGTACCTTGGGGACAATTTTTTTCTAGGCAACTACTGCTTTGTCAATAGCTACTTTCCTCTGGAACTGTGCAATTGTCCATCTCAAGGTCAAAGTTCATGAAAGTAGCTGGCAAGGTTTCCTTCAATTTAGGGCCAAACACTTCGTTATTGGAAATGACTGTAAATCTATCTTCCAAGTAACACTGTAGTGTTTAACAACTTCATGCTTTCACTGCTTAAAGCAGAACCCAGAGACTTTCAAGATACTCAAGTAATAGAAATCATTAAAAACAGTATGCTATAAAAAAACGGATTCACAAATATTTCATTTCCCTAGTGCACCTTTGAAAGATAGACTGAGAAGCACATTTCCATGAAAAAGAAAGTGTGAAAAGTTAAAAAGGTCCTAGACACTTAAAGCCATGGTCCTTGTATACTGAAGTTAAACCACAGCTGAAGAAGATCTGGAACATTAGATCACAAAACACAAAAAACCTGACATCTCTCTAATCAATCTCATTCTCAAAATAGTTTCCTTTGCTTTGAAATGCTGATATCTAAATAGCAGCTCACCATATGTTGACTCTGATGACAGATTCAGATGTTCAGTAACAGACACTTCAGTTACATGGGTAAACTATATTTTTGCAAAATAATCTCTTAATACTTTATTTTTACCTTTTTCTGTATTTAGATTGAATAACTTCTCTACAACAGGCTCTAAATCTTCTCTAGCAGTGCTAGTTGAAGGACAGGTTAAATGGACTAAATCTGTTAAAAGAGAGCACAAAGTGATTACAATCACAAATACACAGATATCTAAATATCATTTACAATTTGTAAAAGGCATAATAGGCTTTTAGAAATCACTGCTCTTCATATAAATCACTTTAACCCAGGGAAGTAGAGTGTTATGGAGATACAGTGTACATACACCACAGAGAAATTTTCTTAATACATCTCATAATTATCTCTCTCTTCCATAGATGTTGCTAAGATGAAGGATAATTTAACATAAGCAGTGCAGGCAGGGAGAACATCGTTCTAGGAAAATGTGTCTACTGATACCAGGGAAAGCAGCAGGAAGAATCTGGATATCACATTCTATTTGCCACTGATGACCTCTAGAGACTCCAAGAACGTTGTTATCGGTGCTGACAGTGCAATAGCTCAACACACTAAACCCACAAATATCACCCCTTTCATCAGCACTCTCCTTTAAGAGCTAAATTGGGACTGAGTGGGAAATTGGTAATTGGGCTACTCACAGTTGAGGCCTGGCTGTACACAAGTAAGAAGCTGTCCCCTTCCACTGAGCACAAAGTTTGAGCAAAACTTACATTTCTTTTATTGTCCTACACAGTAAATAGGAAAAGTGAATAGATGTGTGCTTTAAGTGACAGCTCCAGAGGGCTGGAGAATGAAGAACAGTGGGAACACTGGGATCATGTTTTAACAAGCTAGAGAGATTTAAAGATCTGCACTGCTGTATAGCAGTTCTGTGACTTCGTTCTGTGATCTGAGTTACAACATGTGTACAATCCCTTGGTACAACGTAACAAAAGAGCTCTACAACATTTTTTTCATTCACCTCCGTAGAGGATGGGTGAAAGTTTTGGTTTGGGTAAGGGTGAAATTAGGTGAAATTAAACCTTCACGCTCCTCCTCTTTCAGACTGCACACACAGATTATATTCAAACATTCATTTTTTATTTAACCAAACCCAGATATTCTCTGTAAAAGGAGTATGTACTAAAAAAATCACAACAGGTGCTGATAAAGAAAGTCTCCTTGTAACCTTAAATAAATATTTACAATCTAAAACACTGTAATACAATCTATTCTTTCCTCAAAAAAACCAGCTATATATCACTGAAGTTCACATCATTTACTTTCTATAAAATCATCTTTATTATCCTTAATGTTATGGCTATGAGTCACAGTCATCAGTATATATTTTGATTATATTTGATTTACTCAGGTATAACTGCATTAGTTACAGTGGTTGCCAACATTTGTCTTCAAGTAATTCTTCTAGCAAGAAGAACGATGAGTTCACTTCATGATTTCATCATTACAGTCTCAATTTTTAGGGCAAGTGAAGGAGTTTGGTTCCACTCAACTGGCAATACAGATTATATGCCTGTCATTTATGCAGTGTGATCAAAGAGTAGATGTATTTGTATACTTATCTTAAATAATTGTTTGAAGGAGAAATCAGTCAGGTTAAAACCCATTTACAGATAATGATGTAGAAGTTTTTTAAAAAATTATGAAATATGTCCCATAACTAGAATCCAGCTATACCCAAAGTAGAACTCTATTATTTCAATACATGAAGATAAATTTCATTAAGGAACTTGGTACTTTCTCTTCTGAAATTAAAAGAATTTATGGGGAAGAGTAACAGAAATCTTAATTTCTCAGCACCACAGAAATTCTTGTGAAACTTGTAATTTGTAACTACTTGAACATCAGTCCTTTCACTTCCTGCTATATGTATTTTGTGAACCCTTAAATAAAATAAGCCATTTAAAGGATAAATATTAACAATGTGCTTTATAGTACTAAGTTCTTAATTACAGGTTTATTTTTTTATTAATATAACTTTGAACGACTTAATAATTCATTTAACTCTTCTTTCATATGCAAAGAAGATCCATTTGGAAATAAAGAATACACTTTATTAGCATGAAAATCACAAGAAGACTTTGAAGAAATCACTATTACATGTAAATTTTTTTTAGAATTAATTCAAGAAGAATCTTGTAGTTCGATTCCAAAGCTGGATGAAGGAGCACACAAGTGCTGGAGAACGAAGACAATGGGCTATTTCCCTCATCTGCTGCTGACAGTAACCCAGTACAGACACACTGTTTTCTCAGCTTAGTACACACACTTTGTTTTCTCAGCTAACAGCATGGCCATTGTGGAGCAGAGGAGTGATAAGCACACATCCTAAATTTTGTTTCAGAGTCAAAGGGAAAAGTGTAGCTAAGATCACATACACCCTGTACTTACAAGTGTCTTTCATGCATGTCATGGCTGAGGGACACAGCTCAATGACACAGACTGCTGGTTTTCCTAGATCCACTGGAGGCACCATCAGAAGGGAAACCTAGCATGCAGGGAGAATAACAGGTTAAAGCAGAGTAATGTGGAGGATGAGGCAACCAACACAACCCTGAGTAAAGGTTAAAAATAAGCACAGACAGTTATAAAAAATCCTTTTTCAACACTGGGCAGAGCACTGTTAGCTAAGAATGACTGGAGTAGTTTTATGCAGGACTGCTAGCGCAAGACTTAGGAAGAACAAATTTCTCTTGTCATAAATGTTCTTATTTTGTAGATCATATTTAATTTATAATAATACAGGAAGCATAGAGAAGAAACACTTAACACTGATTAATATAATTTGAATTCAAGGTCTGCAAAGAATGATGAAGCAGAAACATTTAAAGAAGGACCTGAAAGTGTACAGTAAGAACTTTGAACAGTAAAAGTGTATGTTAAAAAAAAACTTCAAATAAAGTTCAGACAAGATAACTAAAAGTTAACAGAACACTAAAGGTAACAGTTTATTAAAAAGCAAGCAAAATAAACTACCTTAAAGACAGCAGCTTAGAAACTGTTCATTAATATGATGCAAACCAACAGGGAAACCCAAGTCACTGAACTAAACTAAAATTCCTAATAGCTTTATAGACACTAACAAATTAATTTTCAGCAGAGAGAGCTGACTAAAAAGCTAGATTCAAGCAGAAACAAACACATGAATTCCTTCCAACATTAATGCCTACAGTTAATAAAGGGGTGATACAAAATTGATATATACCTGCTGCTCTGCATCTGTGTTTAGTACAGACTGATCCGTAATGAGCACTGCTCTGGAGATCTGCCTACAAGTAAATAAAACAATTATGGCATTTCAGGAAAATGTAAGAAATGGCAATTTTGATCCATAGTTTGGGCACTATCAGTCTAAACATAACACTGTGGGAAGGCCATTTAACCACACAGTCTGATTAATATGATTGTTAGTGGGATATTTTGCCTGTTGCTGAAACAAAAACACATCTGGAACATTAATGGAATAGTTTCAATGACTAAAACAGATGGTGAATAAATGAGCCAGTGTCATCATATAAAACACTTTGGATAGCCTTCTGATTTTTAAAAAAATCTTTTAAAATCTAATCAAGATTAGTAGCAGCATGATAGAAGACTTTTTATGTTTTAAACAGCATAAGACACTTTGGTCTAAACAGGGGAAATACACTAAGGTGGATTTCATGAACTGAAGTTTCTAATCCTCCCTTGTCTATGATTATTTCTGTACTGCACCTACTACTACAGTTTTGCTAATATCTTATCTGCAATATTTTGAAGACAAAGGCAGTAAAAGTCCAATGCTTTTGGCAAGGACAACAAAGATCAGAGAAAACAATGATTTTTAATAGTTTTCCAAACCTGAAGAAATTTAAAGAGAAAACAGCAACAGGCACCTCCACCTTCCAAACACTTTTTCACAAATATGAAATTCCTGATGCACTTTAGAGATACTAGATTTTTTAATAAGGAAAGGAGGAATATGAGTTGGAGGACAAGAAAACCTAAAGATACAAAGTGTACAGTATTCCCTGAAGTATATGGAAGAAGAGAAAAACTATGCACAGAACCAAGCTGTACTGCAAAGATAAAGCAGAGAAAATTTATTCAGTTTAATTTCCAGGATACTTTATATACGATTATTTAAAGAAATTTATTATGTTTAAATGTTCTACTACATACTTGTAACAGACGTTTGTGCACGTGCTCTCTGAAAGGTAACTATCTTCCACAATAAAATATTTTGCACTTATTCTTTGTCCAAAATGATCCACAATAGCTTTGCATCTGTTAAGAAATAATAAACAAATCAAACAGGAATTTAGATAAGGTAACCAAAGCATGTGTGTTTGAAATGGAGTTGTATAGCACATTGTACTTTTCACATACATTAGCTAAATATTTCTTTTCACATGTGAACCCCTAAAACAACAACTGAAATTGGTAACTAAATCCTAGACTTATACATTCCTCATAGTATATACAGCTTTTTACATGTGATGCCAGGATAGATAAAGATACCAGAACATTAATAAACTGGTCATTTTATTAGCTTATATTTAGTTTTCCTTCTAACACTGGCATTTGATTGTACACGAAAGTGGCATGTTTCTCGCCTCATGATACACAGAAAAGGAACACTGTGAATTACTTTGGAGGTGCTGTCCTATGGCAGTGTTATTTTTTCTGCCACCCACCTTTACCAAAGGTCTGTATTTTGGCAATAATACTTTACAAATCAGCCTAAAGAGATTTAATGGAAAAAAATCTGTGGAAAAGGAAACAGTGTGCAGACTGTTCCCAGAGAACTTTTCTGAGCTTCTGCATTTGTGGCTAAATATACTGTTTATCTCTAAGGAACACACAGATAGATTAACTAAGTCATGCTGCTTTAGGAGCAACACAAGTGTTCCTGATAGGTGCTGTTTGTCTTTGAAGACAGATAAATTCTAACTCAAACAGATACTCCTCTGCCTCAGGCAGTACCTCCAAAAGAACTGAAAAAGCAACTAAACCAAAGACCAATCCCTCCCCCAAATCCTTCTAACTGTAAGCAGGTCAAAACAAAGTGAGAATTATTACAAAAATATTCTGCAAAAATATTTCAAGAATCAAGTGTAACAGAAGAGACCAACACCTCTAAGTGGGACAGAAATGCAAACAGGACAGAAGCAATGCAAGGAGCTAAAGTGGGAACAGGGTACAAATTTCAGATTTTAATGGGGAAAAATCTCTATGAAAACACAAACTTCAGACATAGATATGATACATGAAATGAAATCATATCTATGAAACAAATAAAAAGCAGGCTGTATACAGATACTGAGTAAAAGCAACTTCTGCTGCTGATTCCTACAAGCCACGAACTGTGTTCTATTTAATTGTACATACTTCATCAAACTGACACCTTGCTAACATTTTTATGTAAAGCCCTACAGATTTAAAGAGCACCTATGACTTCTTTTCCTACCTGAAGTGCAAGCAAAATATATGCACTACACTTTCTTTATAGCTTGTTTCCATATCCTAAGCACCTCTAAGGCTTTGTACCAATTTCTAAAGCAAGTTTTTAAGGTTTTGCACAACATCAGAACATTTACTGTGTAAATAAAGAAAGCAAATTAGCTCTATTTAACTTTTGCTTGGTGTATGAAAACTTTCTGCATATTTTTTCTGAATCAGTATCTCAATGTTTCAGTTGATTTAATACAGAGCATTCAAACCAGTAAATACTCTCACAAACATTTACACACACATGTGTGTACCTCTACAGGGAGGTGTTGAAAGCAACAAAAGGATGCCAAAGGCACAGACCCCTTACACATTTAAATGTTCTATCATAGCACAGCATTATTCCTTTATCAGTAAGTATCTGATGTGCAAGATGCTTATGAATAAACAGCATTTCTGTATCTTCAAGTTATGCATTAGCTTCTGTGATCAAAATGATCTTCAAAACTAGAAAACATGAGAACCAAACTTAAATAACTAACAGCAAGCAGCTGCCACTAGCTTTAGTAAACCAGTTGCTTCTGTAGCCTGAAATGAGAGTTTAAAAAGGGTGCACACAATGCTTATTTCCAAATAGAAGAGGTTTATGGCAATTAAGCTTTTTTTTCCCAACAGTAACTTCTAATGTTGATTTCATAGGAATCTGGATACTACATATATACCTATATTTGAACTCAGCAGTTAACTTGAAAACAGTAATTAAAAGAAATCAAATCTAATGGTACAAGCATTGTTCAACTCCAAACCTGTAGTATTCTTCCTACAGCTTCAACCACATCCCAGCCAACACGTGTTTTACTGGCAACTTTAAGTTTTTTAACAGTAACCAAACTGACTTAATTCTCATGCACTCATTTGAATATTGCAAATAAACAAGGAAGTCAAACTGCTACAGTTCATTTCTAATTATAACCTTTCTTATTGTTTATGAAACAATTTCCCCTGCCACCCCTCTACAGATTATCGGAGGGGAAAGGTTGATTAAATGTCATGTTGCATCACTCAAAGCCAGCAAAAGCAACCACACACTTTTTATTTTACCACTGAGTGTTGTCTCCTCTCCTTTGTTCAAGAATAGCTATCAAGTCATACGTTGGATAAGATTTTAAACAGAAAAAGAGATAGCACTTTTAATTTCAGTCTGCACTTTAGTTCAAAGGATGGTGCTGAGAAAATTTCTTTCAGGTACTGCTTCCAAATACAGAAAACACTTATGCACTGACATTATCAGGTCTCTGTCATCTGATATGTGTTGGGACAATGAATCATAGAGAACCCTCCATTGACCTTCTTTCAATGTGTCTAGATAAAAGGATGAAAATTAGAATCCATCTCCTTGCAGTGCCACGAGTTATAAATGTACTTTATAGGGCTCATTATCCAAACTAATGGACTAAGGGCGACATCCTTGAAATGGACTTACCACCACTGACAAAGCCAGTATGCAATATTTCAAGGAAGATATGTAAATTACTAGGTGTTTGCTATATCTTTTTATTACAGATATATAAATTTCCATTCATCATCTCTCTCCCATTTTTGAGACAGAATTATATAATTGGAAACATATGTAAAGTGTGATCAACACAAAATGACAACCATTATTATTAATGCAATCCATGTCACTGAAAATACTTTACATTTTATCATATGTAGACAAAAAAGTGACCTACAATAAACACAGAAAATAAACAAAAAATAATTATCCTGTATACTTTCCATGTGCTTTTTTCTCATCCTAAGGAACATGATGGGTGTTTTATTTCCTAAAAGAGCATCAGAGTACTATTAAGAATGCAAAATGTTCTGTGTATGTATTAAACCAGCAAACTTTATGTGATACAACACATTAAAAGTTAGAAATTTTCAAGGAATTCTGAAAGTTTCTATTCTTTCACACCCTCTTTCTGTGAACCTTCTTAAACACAAACTATAGATTATAGTAAAACATTAAAAATAATTACCCTGTTGGGAGTGAAATCGACTGTTCCCTGTATACACAGTTACAGGTAGTATATAAGCAAAAAAGCCATTTTTGGGTAGGAAGAAGGAAATAAACTCTGATTTCAATTTTTTTTCACATTTTCAACTTCAAATTAACTCTAAACTTAATCAACAAAACTTTCAGAAGAAAATCAAGTGTAGCTATAAGTATAAATTTTCCTTGCAGATACCAAAGCAAGAATATGAAACAGAGTGGAAAAATAACTACACTAAGATACTGATGAAGTCCAGAAGCCTAGGGAAGACACATAATATAGTAATGAATACTCTACAATTAGACTAAATTTCCACTGTTGTGAGGTTAACTTATTTGTAACCAAGGGAAGCTGCCTCTGAAACTCCACAGACAGCTGTACTGATGAGGTGTGAATTTGTCTACCACCAATTACTACTAATGGCCTGTTGACTCAAACGCTCAGTATCTCATAAATACCCTCATTAACAATTTGATAGCTGATTTTTATTAGGCAAAACACTGAAGTCCAAAGTCAAGAGGAAATTATTGCTGGTGCAGGGAGGAAATACAGAGTAAGGAGAGAGATAACATGAGGCAAGAAACAGGTATCATTTTCTCTTGATTTTCTTTTCTCTCACCTGAATGCAACGCTTCTTTTCCTTACTAAGCCTTTTCCTTAGTGTTACTTGGCAAGCTATGTAATTTGTCACTATCATCACTACTATTTCCTTTCCCTTCTTTTTCTTTTCTTTCATACCTGGGTCACAGAAGCTCAGCTTTTTGGGTGACATATTTGCTACGATGAAGACAGTGTTTGAGATTTAAAAAAAAAAAAAAACAAAAAAAAACCGAAAGCAAATGTATGATCCTCCTTTCATCACTGAAAATTTTGTAAAAATAAACATATTTTGGCCCAGGCTGCATTATTTTCATCATGCCAAAGCAGTCTGACACATCCCTTCTCTTCTATACATATTTTTTGGTGTATTTTTATTTTGATGTAGAAATGTTTGTTGGCAAAATACCTGCTTTGAAACTATGGGAGATATAAAAATTGACAACAGAAGCAGACAGGTGGTTCTGAGGAAAAGGCAGGTGGCTTGGGAAGCTGGACGTGTTGTGCTCCCTCATATTCAGCATCAGAGAATTGCTTTATTAAAAGATCAGTGTTTTCAGAATAATAAAAGGCTGGTAATTTCCTTAATTCTGCACCTCAAAAATCCTTTAGTTTTAAGTGAAAATGGTATAAATCACTAAAGCAGCCTAATAGCCTAAAGAAAGACACTTGAAACCTACCCGGAACCCTGAGGAATTACTGGATTCAAAACATAAAAGCAGATTAAAGGAAAATCAGCACTCCCATCTCTTTTGGAACACAAAAAAAAAACTCAAACAAAATATTAATTTTAAAGGTCTTCAGAATGTGCAAACGAAGCTGGAAACCAGGGCAATCAGCACCCCATACCAGTTAAGATCTCCACAGAGTAGGGTTCTGCTCCTCTGAAAAAGCAAGTTAACTAAACATTATTGGAAAATAAGGCTGCCTACAGTAAAAGTTCAAACATTACTGTTAAAATAAACTACAGAGTTTAGGAAAAGGGCTTAATTTCATTTGCATACGAATCTTGCACTTAAAACAACACCACATATGATGAAATACTATCACATTTGCATCTCAAAGTCTGAAACTGTGCAATGAACTTCAGAACCTTTAGAAACTGAGAGAAAGATAAAATCTGTTGTTTGTAGAATTTCAGGGAAAACAGACCCTACTTGACCATGTCAGGTCAAATCTAGCTACAAGTACCATGCTCAAAGAATCAAAAGTGCAGTGCAGCTGGAAAATAATGACATAAACACATTACACCAACCATTTAACTAACTACTAATTTTCTTAAGTGTTACTACACATTTTCTAGTTTAATTTTCAAAATTTGCTACGGAACATTTTGAACTTTTCAGTTACAGAAACTAAGCTGAAAACAGACTCTGAAGAGAGACAGAGTCTGCAGTTAGACTAATAACTGGTAGAATGTACATGAAGTCTGACAATTTTCAGAGGTGTGAAAAAATGCCATTATGGAAAAAGCTACATATTGATTTTTCTTAGCTCCACTTTAAACCCGCCCACAGGCCTCATTTTGTTGTAAAAGAATTTATCCTAGGATAAGAGGGCAGCATAGTTTATGACAACAATCTACCTAAAAACTCATTAAAGTCTTTTCTCTTGGAGTGACAAGCATTATCAGCAAAGATTAATCTGATGAGTCTTTAGGTGAGCTCCATTTTTAAAAATGCAATAACAGAGGGCTTTGTTGTCATCTGATGAAAATCAATTAGAGTAGGTAAGGCCACAAGGAAAACTAACATCACTCATCACCAGCCCCCCGGCAGCTGAAATGATTTGTCTTCCAAGCTTGGGTGATCAGGAGCTGTAGTAATATCACAGGGAAATTAATTTAGTTTCTATATTCTAGACCCACTTTCCTTGTTCTGGAGGACCTATACACAAATTACTTTTAATCAAGGTTGATGTGTTATTAATACCAAGGAGGATCTTTGAAGAATCATTTTTTTTTACATTGACTTCACACATTTTTCATCTGTATTTTGTATATAAACAGAAGGTTACTTATATTCCCCTTACCGTCCAGACTCTTTGTCCACTACAAGGCACTGCACAGGGTGGCGAAGACAATAGATACCTCCAAATACAGCACACATCCTAGGAACACAGCAGGAAAAAACAGAGGTTACTCCTAGCACAACTAATTGTAATCAGTGTCAGTGTGTGGTTTGAGTGAGGCAAAGTACTCTGCATGTCACAATGTTTTTAATGGCACGTCTTAATCTCAGAATTAGACAATCAAAATCCAATCAAAATAAAGGATATGTTGCTAACTTTTTTTTTTTGTATTAGCATTTATCTTAGTTCTCTGAATTATTACCTTAGTTTGAGCACTCATTCTCTGTTACCATCTTTAGTCATCCAGGATGGAAAAGCACCTGTTTGCTGAAGATGTACAGGATATTTACTGATACTCTGACCAACGACATTGCACATGGTGCAGAATAAGAATGTAAGAACACACAATGACCACACAAACCTCCTACTACAATTCCAACTGTTATTTAGCTACATACAAAATGGACTGTGGAAACTTCAATGACTACCAGCAGCTCAAATTCAGCAGGCATTGAGAAGTACCCCAACAGAATGAAGACTTCTTATAATCTAAAGATGACCTCTTACAAACAGTGACTCCTCCAGGTTCTGCCCATGTGACAAAATACTTGCTTAAGATACTCTGTGCATGGACTGATACTACAAAAATTTACTAAATGAGAAAATGAACCAGCTTCACAGGTCAGTTTTTGAAAAGCTGAAGTATACAAAGTTATTTAGCAGTTTTCTACTCACAAAACAAACCAAATTCCTAAAAAAAACCAAACACATGCTAGACAAGCATTAATCCAATACTGCAACTCATCTGCTTTTAAACTGTAAGTAGATTCAGAATTTAAAGAAACTAGATTATGATATTTAAATGTGAGGGACTCCATGTGAAGTCAGATTGCTGCAAGATTTCATCACTAGCCAGGCTGTGTTGTCACCCCCTTGCAAACATCTGACTGAAACTCTGCCAGATGAATCTATCCTCTGCCTAAGTCTGAAATTGCTCTCTCATCAAGCTGGACAGTGGAAGTTCAGTTGGTCTGGTGATACAACACGATTCCAGGTTAATTCCTACATCCTAACTTCCCACATCTGCCAAAAGCCAGGCTTAAGCTTTGGGGATCACTCTTCTGTTGATTTGATGCAACAACAGGCAAATTAATTCACAAAACCTGAGAGTTTTGTTTGTGCAAAGTGATACCCAAAGTTTTTACTGGACCCACATGAACACTGAAGTGACTGTGACATCACTAGTTTTAACATTTATTTGAATTCCAGTTCCTGAAAGATTTAAATAAAGCCCACATTCTTCAAAACTCTGTCAAGCAAGTATCAACAACATGCATCCTTTTTGCTATGCAATTTTAAAAGACTCTTTAAACTTCCTGTGAGAACACTATAATGCAGAGAAATTCATGAGTTTACAGAAATACAGGTTAGAGATTCTCAAGTACAAAGCTTAATGATTAGCTGTGAATTAAGCTAAACTCCATTTTTTTGCTTACAGTGTATTATTTCAGGGGCTTTCTTATTACACAAATAAGACAGAATGCAGAAGATTAAATTCTTTAGAACTTGCTGTGACAAAAGGTAAACCAGTATGAATATTTTTTAAAATATTTTTTCAAATATGTTAAAAAAGAAATAATCTTTCTCTTTAAAATTTCCAGTCAGCATGGGAATTCCTAGTGGAAAAAGAGAAGAAAAAAAGATGGGGCAGATGTGTCTTATCCCTTACAATACAAATTCAAAATTGCCTGTTTGCAATGCCTGTTCTGGGAATCTTTACTGTACTTTTTTTTAGTTATTTACTTATTTAAGTATCTCCAGTGGTTCGTTCAGACCGACCAGCTATCACAGACCTCTTCTCATGTATGCTGAACAGAAAGAATGAATAAATAATTTGCATATAGACAGAAACTTTTCTGAGAGAGAACTGCTCTCAGAACTTGTCTTCTATCAGAGACAACTGCCAAATGTTACCCAGTGACATTTGACAATTCTTCCTTTGTCCCACAAGTTAAACACACCTGAGCTGCTCTTGTGGTCCCTATTATTCAAAAGTAAATAGCTTCTCCTGAGTAAACCACACACCAGCCTGCAGCCCTTCAGCACAGTGCCACTGGTCTGTTCTCACTGCTCCTCTACCCATGCAGAAGCAGGGAGAATACACACCATGTCAAATCCCAGCCTTGGTTTTCTGGAGATTGCTGAGGATGACACAAAGGTTAAACATCCACTGAAGAATTACTACACAGCCTTGAGCTACAGGCTTATTATCTCTAATGCTGCAATCAGTGGCTTGGTGCCTGACAAAGCATCTGCTAGGTTCTTTTAAACCAACTCGGATGAATTTATTTCATATGTTATACGTAAGAGTAGTGCTATTACCTTAACTAGAGCTAAGACTCCTTTGTTAAAAGCTATAAATTATATTTTTCCTTTGAATTCAACCACAGTCAAGGGCTTTTTTGATATATGCACTTTATTTTCTAGCATGCTTTGAAAGAACTTTGCTGCTTGGCTGCGCAAATATGTGAATTACTTACTTTCAAGAGTAGCCTGCTATCCTGGGGAGAAGGGCATGACCTGTTTTCATAGCAGCTCAGCAGAAAACTTCTCTTTTTTTAAATGAAAATGGAAAGGAATTTTGATTGTGTTGTGTTAAGCAATTACAGAGAGCCAAAATACCTATTAAAACAGCCTACCATGAAAAAGGGCGTGATTGGGAAGAACTTGCCAAAATTATTTAATACAGAAACTGAAATATTAAACTAAATAGCATCCCAATAATTTATGACAAAATAAAACCAGTGTGCTAACATTACTTTCATACAATAGGCTATTCAAGATGATTTGACTGTACTTCAAGTACAAGGCAACTCTTTGATACCATTAACCCCAAATGACAGACATTTAAACTGATATTACTCTAATTAACTGGTGACTGCCTACACCAATAATTCAAGTTTTGCTGAAAGATAGCAACAACACTGTACTCAACTTCAACTTTGCCCTGGTGACATCAAATCATATTACAGCTAAATTAACAGTTGTGAAAATTTTTGGCCTGGTAGCCCTCCATCATACGCAGCCTTTAAATGCCATTTCAGTTCCCATCAAGGCAGGAATCAGCAGTTGTAATTATTAATACAGCTCTGAAGCAATAGGATGTATTAAAAGCTGGATTTTTGACAGCATATTCATGATGATTTATGAGTTTGTATACAATTTGATTATTCTATTAATTTTACTGATTACTGATTCAGCTAATACAGTGAAGGTCACTTACAAAATAAATCTTCATTACGTTTCACAGAAAGTGCCTCCAACTAGTTGTTTTCTTTAATTAAACACTAATGTAACAAGAGAGAAAATAGGCTTCAGGGTTGCTGCATCTGTTGCTACAAGAAGAGTTTACTGCTTTGATGTAATGCTCTCTGATATTAATTGAACAAAAATAGAACATCTCTCCATCTGACATCTTGATTTTCAACACAGACATACCATAAACACCATTACAGACTTCCCCATAGTTCATTCTGAAACTACATAAAAGAACTGGAAAACCATATCACAGTTTCACAAGGAGAGTAGGTTTTATTTCTAGTACATAGTTTGTCTGCTACTTCCTAAAATGCATGGAGTCATTAGTTAAAAAATTAAATATTTTTCTCCCCAACTGTACAGTCCTCTATAGCAAAAACTATTTGCTTCCCTCTTTAAATACGAATACTGCACCTACAGCACAGCAGGCTTTGGAGAAAGATCAAAGGAAAACATGCCAAGTGCCAAATTAATGAATTGTCCTCTTCCAATTCATTTTTACACATGGAGAAGGCTGTGACCTGGTTCTTATGTTAAATTCTGTGGTTTCTGGAAGGCCCTAGAACTTCAGCATTTCCTGCAATATTGTTGTATGTTTGAAAAACATTAGAAAGGAAAGAAGAATATCAACAAAAGCAATCAAATAAAACGGCTACAGTTGGGAAAACAAGTAATTTTCCTAACACAGAGTTCCCATTAAAAAAAAAAGAGTCAAATTTCAGTATATGCATCCACCCAGATAAAACAAACAAACAAAGAAAACACCAAAAAATACCACAAAACCCCCCAAACCAATCAACCCCAGAAGAACACCACCAAACCAGCACCAAAGAAGTAATGAAGCTAATAATGTCAAGCAGAGCAGTCCTGGCATTTGAAGAGCTATGGGAAAGGGTAGCATGTGACAATAAAAGTTTAGATAAGCAAATGAAGAGTCCAATATTTTGACTTATTCCTGGACACTGTCTTCAGCATCTATGTAAAATTTAAAAAGTCCTGAAAGATTAGAGAATCAGCTTATTTTATAAATTCAACTAGAAAACAACAGTTTTAGAACTGTCAGAAAGTCCCTGCATAGCAACAAGCTGCAAGTTAGTCACCTCCCAAAGAGTATTTTGTAAGAGTCACAATTTTTACACCTGTACTCATGTAGCAAGAGGGTGTCTTTCTCCAGATCTTCACTCCTGTCCTAGCATGGTAAAGCAGAAGGAAGTCCCAGCACTGTGCCTGGCAATGCTACAGGAAGAGCTGCTGTGGTGGCAAAGCCCCCAGCCAATACACTGGGGGGGAAGCAACGAGGACTTCTGCTTGTTGGACTTCAGCAAACTCTTTTCAGGGAGAAAGACAGAGCAGCCAGGAAAGGCCAGAGATAATAGAGGGGTTGGGGTAAAAAAAAACAACAGCCCAGTTAAATGTTCTTGTATAGCAAATTTCATATTTTTTTAATAGGGCTTTAAAAAACAACATTTAAATTTTAAAACCTTTTTGCTCCTTTTTACTGTATGGGATTTAGATTGCTATACACATTCACATACTGTGAAGAGTTCCAGTGGAGTGTAGAGTATTTGATAATAAAATAGGTAACAAGAAAAAAAATTGGTGTACTTGATTTTGTTTTAAGCACAAAACGCACAGGTCTGAGTAACACAGCTACTTACCACTTCCCCCAAGAGGCATTAGACCCTCTGTACTTTTTTCTATAATTACAAAATACAGATGAT